GGAAGGAAGCCAGGAGGTGCCGAAACAGTTGGCTTTGTGAGACTGAGCTTTATCTGGCCTCTACCCGTTAACCTTTCAGGCATGATTGGATCTACGGCTATGAGAAGCCATCCTGTGTAGCTCGCAGGGTCACTGAGGCGCGCAAGCCATCAAACCACGTCAAGCTGCAGTCTCGTCGTGATGGCCCTGATCGAGAAAGGGGAATAACCTCGGGGTCCCCATCTCAGGCCTTTGACTAGAAAGCCAGACCTACAAGACAGTAGTACGGAGTTGAGAGTCCATAGTCCACCGGGGCCCTGTGTCCAGTCCATCATATTATACACCCTTTGGACGGATTCAAACGGCCTAGATGCCCAATACATCGCGATACCCGATTGTGCCGGTAACCTCTGCCACAACCGGGAAGGTATGTGCGCAGTTGGTATTCCTCTTCTTGGTTGGTTTGGAATCAGGGTTTTTAGCTAACTCTCTTAGATGAATTGCCGGTAGTTCACCGACCCGGTTACAGCTCTGGATGTTGGGTTTTCGTGCCCTCATTTTGATGGGGAAAACACTTCCGCCACGGAAAGGCAGTAAGTAGGGCTTCCTCAGCAGATGCTGTTTGAGATGCTTAGTCTTACAAAAGCATTTCGCCTTGTGTAAGGAAATGACGACCAGTCAAAACTCGAGACACCCACCCCGGCCATATTTTGGCTTCCGGCTTGCATTTAAAAACCTGCTGTTCATTTACCACTACCGGTAGTAGAAGCCAATGATGTGTTGGTCTGCCTAAGACTGTGATACCGGTTTACTATGGGTCACGATCGTGCGTCAAAATTCGTGCTATACGGTCTGACTGCAAATAATTCTACTCAGGAATGACACCGGTAGACATGGGTAGACATTGTTTCTAGTGTCTTCACTGTGTAGACTTCTGTTTCCCTAGATCTTATCTCTCCCAATCGGCTGGGATAGGTGTAACGCCCATTGGATATCTTTTCGATTACTTCTGTGCAATTATTTGAGTGTTGAAGTTTCTCTCTATGGGTAAAAATAAATCAATTTACAGTGCATTTCAGCACGATTGTGCTGAATAGCGTGTCAAGAAATCCCAGAGATTATTGGACTCTTGACTCGTTGTTCTTCGATCACTTGTCGATTGATTTTCAATCAATGTACTCTAGATTTGACTACGTGCTGTCTAGATCTGAATCAAAACAAGTTGTATTTTCGGAGATTTTTCGCAAATGCTAAGTCGTGATAGCCATTATCATACCTATTCACTACATCACTTACGGCAATTATCTCGGAAGCGACTGATAAAGAAATACATGCCACCTGATTTCCAATGAATTTCTCGTCAAGTGTTTAGTAATCTCCTTGCCCGCTTATAATGACTACATGCTGATACGTTCCGAGCATAAGCCTATAACTGTTTATTTTTACGGTGCAACTGCAGAATACATCCTACAAGTGTTCCAAAAGCACTCAAATTGGATTTCACATTGCATTACATTCGCTTTTGGACGCATTGTTCCTTTTTATTACACATCTTTGTATGTTAAATAGCAGACGGGGTGGACTCTGTAGTCGCGAAGACCTGCTGTTCACTTATGGAAACCGGCAACCTAAGCTCCGGGACTTGGAGTGGCGAACCACATAAAGCCCCGATAAGTTAGGTGTGGTATGGAACCGGGTGATAGCGAAGCTGTCACACCAAAGTTGGTTGGCGGTGATAAGGCTCGAACCTCGATCCACAGTGTCCAAAGCGCGTTGATGTTAGTAGCTAAACCACTGCGCCACCACCACCCTACTTGATATCAATTTGTCGTTGTGGACGAGTCCATATTACTCGATCTTTTCTGCACTGATGCACATGTAAACCTTTCACATCCAAGTACTACCTGCAGGGTAACAGGATGATGGGGCCTTTTTAGGCCTTTTTGTAGATCGCTGTTTTTGTGAATGTATGCTTTGATAGAACAGTACCGTGATGGCTTTAAGCAGTGACGGGTCACGTTCACGCAGATCATACACTTGCTCTGGACATAGTCGTGTAGCCCATATGGTAAGATAATCTTATGGCACAATTTCAAAAGACAGGACTTCCCGCTCAGCTGAATTGTCCCCATCGGATGGATGGAGGTCCAGCCTTGGTTTTGGAGTTGACGAAACAGTTCAGTATGATAGAAGGAACAGATCCCAAAATAATGATGTGAGTTTATCATGATCCCGATTTGTAAGAAAAGTGCTGAGTCCTTTTGCGAAAACTACAGAGGAATTAGTTCGATCAAAATTCTCTAAAACTCGCACTGATATCATGCTCCATTGATTGTCTACTACCCGTGAACAGTGCACGCATAAGAATCGGACTGGTTTTATATCTGGCCGAGGCTGTATGGATCACATTTTCATCCCGCCAAATTCCAGCCGGATGCTGTGCTCTAAACCATAACGTTGCGAGAACACGGAATGGGTCAGAACACCACGAAATCAGTTCCTCGGTAGCCGCGATAGCCTTTTAGTCCCAGTTCACGATCGTAGCACAGTGTGGCACCCCGGTTGGCACTTTAAACCTTTTCCCCGCTACGAAAGTCAGGTCACAAATGGCGAACAATATTCGACGCTTGAATAAAATTGAATAAATGTATTCAGCGTGTTTATTTATGCACTCTTTCGGCCTAGGGGCATAGAGATCTTGAATATATTGCGGAAATATGGAAATTCACAATTGGTGGCCCCTAAAGGAGACCGAACGAAAAGTTCATAAAGCGTAGGAAATATTCAAATTGCAAGACGCTCAAAACTATTGGAAAATGAACAGTTTTAGGTTAGAAAATCATTTTCTCCAAACTGACATTAGTCTTTTTGTTACAAAAAGATCTTTTGTCAGTCGAAAGTCCGCCCGATACTCGTACATCACTGCTGATCATGCATCAGCTGTTATCCGGTTAAGCAATACTAACCTATTCACGATTAGTCACCTGATCCTCGTTATGAAGACCAATCATTTATTGTGCAGCTCCGCTGGCCATATGCACAAGCACATAGTGCGATACTTATTCCGTCCTTCAAATACAAATATGTTGTTGCTGCTTCGCCTTATGGGCACGTTTATCACAAGGCATACATGGATTGCTTGTCTCGTAGTTTTCCTCATGATTGTATACTAATGGTTTCTTTTAAACTTCACTTCAAATTTTCTCTCAGTCACACTCCCACATCTTCGGGACATTCTAATTTGTGTTATCTGTGTATTAGCGAAATATTGAAACGCTCATTTTAAATTTAACTGAATTTCCTTTGGTATTAAGAGAAAGTTTGTAAATCATGTTTTCAAGTCTGTTATTATTGGTTCAGCCATACGCTCCAGGTTTTTTCCGTCAGTTGTGTAGCTCAGAGATAATAGCTTTAGGGCCAAACCTGAAGGTTTGTATATCAAGTTTTGGCTAAGCCACAAACAGCGTACTATGCTGACCAAGCCCCAACTAGGATAGAACAGCGGTCTCCTGATATTTGTCGGCTGGATACAACATGTTTCTATTTCAAACATGGAATTCCAAGGCAACGCATAGAAAATGCCATGAATAATCACAGGTTTTGTATGATTGCTGTTTCCGCTTATCTGAGATAATTTGTGCAATTAGCGGAGAATTTGAAACGAGCAAGAAACCGATTTTCGAACTTGCACTCTGAGGACCGCGAATTCATTAGGGGTTGTAAATGTGTGAAAAATTATCCCTGAAAAAAACTTGAGTCAGTTATTTGGTATTTATTCGAATCTTTATTCTCCTCCTCTCACTCATTCACTCATAGGTCACGAAAAACCGTATGAGGTGCAGTCTTTTCTCAATCGAATGCGCTACTACCAAAAAGGAGGTGAGCTTTCCTTCCTTTTATTTTCTTGTGTCTCTGCTTCTTTGTCTATGTGTTGTTCTTGTGTTTCGTTCGATTTGATGAACCGGTGCGCTTCTCGAATGACTGTTCCCCATTCACGAGGACGAACGACCTCATTTTGCTCACAGCATTTTCGCATTTGACGTCGTCTTGGTGTTTCATATCTGTCTGTGTCAAGCAGATAATGGTACCTGTGCATATCTGTGCAGCAATGCGTTTCGTTCGTGATTTGTTTCCGCTCGTGGTGCTGCTAGGCCGCTGAAGCGAACGATTTTCCCGGGGGTTATACAACCGGAACCTGATGCTAACCAAAGCCTTACCTGCGATTGAATGGGGCAGTTTGTATGAATTGTGCTTCGTTGGGGGATCAGTGTTGAACTAGGCAAACCATCTGCCCTGATAAGGAGGTAAATCACACCTGCAATGTATTAAGCCGATGAAATTCGTGTGCTGTTGCCAGTTCATACACCCGTTCCCTGGGGAATTACAGTTGAGGTTCTTTAGTTCTTCCAGATGAGTCNAACCCTTTTCTCGCTTCACTCTCGACACAAAAATACAGCGAGCATGGCTTCCGAATAGGTTTCTTTTATGTGATTAACTTTTTGGGGAGTTATACAAAATATGATTTTTTGTATAACACGGCGCAATTTCACTACATATTTTGTTTAATTACTTACTATGATATGATGAACAGCGGATGGAGGAAACCCCATAGTCATGAAGATATATATATGCTATATATATATATAGCATATATATATATATCATTAGAGCGGAATGATAAAGTGGATACTTGTTTTTCACGAGGAAATTCATGATCCAATGGGAATGTTCAACGTTATGTTGTTGTCTATGCTGCTGTCTGAGGAAACGACCGTGTATGTGTGTGTGTGTGGTAAAAAGGAAATTATGTTTCTGCTTAGCAATGTTCTCACTCCTGGAAACGCGGTTCGAGTGAGTCTTAGTTAGTTGGTACGATTCAGCGAGCGATACAAATCCATGCATGGTGTTGCTGCCCATAGCCTCGATCAATCATTAATAGGTGCTGCTGCTGCACAATGTATGTACCTAGTACTGTCATGAACTGTATTTCTCAATCACTTCGTTCACCCACCATATCCCGTTCGACCGAGACGCGTGTCACACTGTTCGTGGAAGTGAAACAGATCGACGATTGGGTGAGATCGGGAACAGTTACATTTTATGAAATCCATCCGTTTGTTTTGGAACTCCTGTATTCGTTCTATGCTACGCTCCTTTTCTGTGATCACTGAGCTGTTCAGCATTTATGTTCTGTGATTTGTTTTTTGTATATTTTCAGCTGATGGTAATGTCCCCCACCCGCCCCCTCGATGTTGCTCTTTATCAATTAATTTCTAACGCGGTGTTTCATCAATGTTCCCTGCACACCGTTTTGCTTTCATTGTAATCATTGGGGTTCGGCACAATGCGCCCTACGGGCTAAATAATCTTGCTCTCACCTGCTCCTGTTTACCTCTGGTTCACCTATCCTCTGTTTCGTCTTCACGCCTAATCCATATTTTTTTTATATATTCCATTCTGGAATGATTTAGATATGGAGATGGCTGTTCGACCGGTCACAATGTGGGTGGTCGTGGGCGATTTGGATGCAATTTTCCTACCTCCCGAAGATCGAAAAGCGCACGAGGAACAGCTGGTGCTTGATTTGAATTTGGTCCGAGCCGCATTAACTTATCTACGTTCCGCACATGCCTCCAAGGGATTGCGTCTCGGTGTGGTCTACAATCCCGCCAGCAATGACAAAGTGCCCAAAACCGCTTGGTTGACTCGTGCGCTATACCTCGTCGGTCATCCAACTCGTGCGCCTAGATCTGACGAGAAGTTGATCAAACACGTTGATCAAATGGCTGCACGGAATTTCGGAGTTCGTCTGTTGACCGGCGCGTTGGATGCGGTAAATGCGAGCGAGAAATATGCGTCACTGGATTCCATGCTAGTCTCGGTAGGTCTTTCGCTTCCTGTCATCCTTGGTGTGTTTCAAGTACTGTGTTTTATTTGTTTGGCACCTCATTCGCTATCTGTATCATTTACTGCACTTAATCACACAAAGAGATCGATTTTCTGACTGAATTTCGTACGTGTCACTTTGTTAATCGATCGTTAAAAATACCGATCTGCGAACCCAAACCTTAATTATGTTGTCCAAAACTTTACGAAATCAGAAGCTTTATATCACGAATTCCTGGGACGCATCGTCAAAGTTACTGAAGGTGTTGTTATGTTCATCCACCTGTCAAGGTCTTGTTACTTCAGTATCTAGCCTCCGTGGCAGCTGCTACAGCAAGGGCTGAACACACGTCGTCCATTTAGGAATCTGGTGAACACAATACCTCTCACAATCTCTGGTTAGATTGGTACCGATAGCTATCAAATCGGAAGTTGAACGTTTGGATCTCCAGTCGGTTTACGATGCGCGCCTCCGGAACAAAGACCACAGGCTTTCTTATCATACTTTAGCCATTTCCTAACCTCATTTAGCATTGTTGCGTCACCTTCCAATCTAGCCAGATTAAACACAAATAATGGAAACGTTTATATTAGTGTCTCATTCAGGCTATGCTCTTTTAATCCTGCTCAGTTGGGCTAAAGGGCGCTTAGGAAACAACTACTATCCGCGATGTTCACAAAGCGGGATTATCCTGTGGGGGGAGATAGTCACCCCAAAAGCAAAAGTAAGATAACCACGATCGGTTTGCACAATTCTCCCGATCGTTCTCCATTATTTTTGAGCAAAGTAAAATGATAGATCGATTAACCTTATTTATCGTTTTTAATCCTGTTCTGCCTCACATTGTTGTTTAACTGTTTTCTTTTATCTTAACTGGCTTAGATACAGTATTCTCTTCGCCACAAATATGAACCCAGAACCAACAACATTAATTTGTTTCTAGAGTCAATTTGCTGCAGTTGTATACCTACAAAGCACGGTTACTATAAGCTGTCGAAATCACCGTTCACCCTGGAAGCAAACTTCGAAGTGGTGATTAACCCAACAACTTGAGCAATTTTGTACTGGCGGTGAAGTAGAAACTCTGAAACAGTCTCTAGAGTTCATGCATGGTTTCTTTTCTCGGCGATATTGTGTAACTGATTACTTGCGGTTTCCGCAGTTCCCAAATAGTGCGTGCAATTTGTTTGTTCCGAGAATGATTGCTCGGCAGATTGATATCGAAGTTTAGTTTCGTGTTCACTGTGGACAGTAGAATAAAGTGAATTATCAAGCGAAGTTTCAAGGAGACATGCACGAGGATTGTGCGGAATTGAATTAAAAATACGCAAGGTCTACCGCGAAGATCGTCGATGTGAGAATTTTTGAAACCAATGCTTTCTAACTGATGAAAAATGATTCATGATGAAAATATTTTGTCGCTATATCAACGAGATCTCTGAAGTAAATTGGGAAAAATAACCACAGATCATCACTCCTTTTAAAGATTTCTGCCCTGATTCTTGTTGGAAAAATAGTTATTCAAGCGGCCAATGGGATGATCAGTCAGTACAAGCAAAAATGGTTACAGCTGATCGAAAAGCAGGGAAAAGAAGAAAAAATTGCTTTTAAAGGAAAGGTAAACAAGATCCAGTCAAGAATTTTTCATTGAGATGAACTAAGGTCGCCGCCTCATTGTGTGTGCATTTCTGTTGTTTACTCACCCACATCTACAGAGTATCGATGGTAATGCTCTCGGGAAAGTCATCGATACGCTGGACCGCGAAAATTTCATCGAGTCCCATTCGAAATTTTCTCGTAACTCACTCGGTTTGAAACCTGGTCAGCGTGCAGTCGTGATCAATGGAAAGGTGAGCTTTTTGTGTAGATTTCCCATATGCGATCCGACATTTTCCTTATAGTAAGTGCCTAGCTATTATGTCTTTTTGATTTCGGTGACGATAATGTCAATGGTAATCTTTCGTTGCATAGACAACCGTGCAGTCGGTTTTCGGGTCAGGGAAGGCTGTCGGTCAAACTCTGCTTGGGGAGACATCGCGAGAAAGTTTGGCATTGGTGATTGGGTTTGAAGTAACAATTTTTGAACCAATATGATGGTACTTCTCGTTACTTTACTACCAGATCATACCCGGTTTCTCATTGATTTTACCATTGCTTGCACAGTATTCACGAGTCCTGGTCATGGTCAACTATCCCTGCACCTGTTGAGATGCTCGTATAAGACAAAACGCTTTTAATAGGCTCTGATGGGAAAGTCGAGCTCACTGTACTCACATGACAGAGATGCTTTTCGACCAACGTGAGAGGGTGAAAAGCCAACATCCGAAGGTATAATCGAGTTGATCAACTACCGGCATTTGATCTAAGAGAGTTGACAAAAATCTTGGTTCCGAACCAACCAAGAAGAGGCCTACGAACCATGCCAACACTTTCCTGGTTGTGGCAGTGGTTACCGGCTCGATTGAATATTAAGGTGTGTTGGACACCTTGGACATTTGACCCGATCCAAAAGGACATCGGCCCCGAATGGATTGCCTTTTTCACACATCACCTCTATGCTTTGCTGAGGGCTTCGGTTGTGAATCCCCAAGAGAATTTACCTGCTTTGACCTGGGAAATATTCGGTTCCACAGCAAATAATAACTTTCTTTGTTACAGGGATTGTTGTACTATGAGTTGTTTAACACAGACTAAACTCTGATAAGCAGGGACCAGAATTTCTTATGTTGGAATGTAAGGTGTGCTAATGCTTCATCAAGTTTCAGTCTGAAGGATTCAATGCTTGGTGCTCAGACGACATGGGATGACTGAAAATGACTATAGCTGGCATTCCAATCGGCATTTTGAGACCAGTAGTTTGAACGGATGTCCTCTAGGATGAACGCGAGTGATATGGATTATCACTCGTCATCCAATCAATTGATGAACATCAGAAGCATTAGCATATATTTCCTACCTGACTTGTTCTGGGTCTAATGTGTGACATTTCTCTCGATCTTACAGATTCTCGGTCCGCTAGATGCTGATGAAGAATTCACAACGGAAGATTTCCGCTTGGCTGAACGTATGACTTTGGATGCAGGTGCACGGGATTTGGGTGAGATGCTCAACACGCTGGTCGGATCTGAGCTGGGCGGTCCAGAAGTGATATCAGAACTCACGTGGCGAATCGGCTCCATTTTACGTCCTCGTGATGAAGCATCAGATTCAGGCGTGGCGGATATTGTAAGTTTTCCTTCTCTAAATGCACGCATAAACAGTGTCGGCTATATCGTCATGGGGTTCAGTATTTGCTTTTCTTGCTCACCAATGATGTAGTGGCGGGGCCTTTGAATTTCGGCCGTGCTTTTCGAAATTGGACAACCATGTACGTTTCTTGCAGTGGATACTATTGACCGTACACGTTCACATCAATTCACCATTTTTTCAAGGTCAAACGCTGACCTACAACTTCCACTTTATGAAATCTTTCTGTGTTTTCGCGAATGACGTTGAAATCTCAGCTTTTTCTCGTTCCGTGAAAAATCGTTACAAACGGCTGAGAAATGAACGTCAAGGTCACCATAAAAAGCATCGCGCTAGCTGGCAGGTTGCTCTCCGGCGAAGTTCCATCAACAGGATGACCATTTCGT